TATATATAATATAAATTTATTTATCTCTTATTTAACATGTGGTTAGAGTAGTGAAATTTATAAAGCCGATTATAAGGTTGATTATAAATCAAAATTTAATGTCTATTTAAAATCTAATATTTAAAATCTAATATTGATTATTTTCATCTATCTTTTCAATTATTATCTATTATTTATATTAGTCTATTATAATTACTTGTCTGTTTTACAGCTTCGATGAACTACATTATGGCAAGTACGTTGGATTATACATGAAAAGGACGTTCTTTTTCGACTCCCATCCGCCTTTAGGGAAGCAATTGATCTCTGCAGCGGCGTACTTGGCTGGATTCGATGGACAATTCAAGTTTGATAGGATCGGAAGTCCTTACAGCGATGCGATTCCTTTGTATGCGTTGCGCTTAGTACCGGCGATATGCGGCAGTTTACTGATTCCTACAGGATATTATCTTGTCCTGGAATTGGGTTTGAAGCAATGGGCGGCAGCAATTGGTGGAACTCTACTCTTACTCGGTAAGAGTAAAGTAGAATTTCTATTCTCAAATTAGAAAATGTATTAGAACAGAAGATTGCACGACTGTAGTATGCTGTTCATCTCCTTCATATTATATCCTATCTTTCTGTCTTATGATTAAAAATGTAGCACGTTTAATATTTAAATTCTGTTATTTTTGAAGATAACGATAGTAATGAGATTCTATTGTATATATAGTATAAGTCACATATACACATAATTTGTTACTTAAAAAAAAATTAAATTAAATTAAATGTAACTTAAAAATTAAATCCAGCCATTGATAGCTTCGCTAAAATTAAATTTATATCTTTATTATTGCTGTCCTATAACGCATAGATTGTATTGACATAGTTAACTGATATAGATACTTGCTATTTTAGATAACGCACTGTTGACACAGTCGAGATTTGTCTTGATGGAAAGTATCTTGATGTATTTCTCATTGCTCGGCTTGTTGTGTATTATAAAATTTCGGAAAGTTATGGATCAACCAACATCAGCGTCTTGGTGGATATGGCTGATACTAGGAATTGCAAATTTAACATGTGCATTATGGTATAAATACAGTCTTTTTTCATTTCTTATATTTACTCTCGATTAAATGTAATTAAAGTATTTTTTTACAGCGTCAAATATGTTGGATTTTATTCCATGGCCCTCGCTCTCTTCTTAATCGCTCATGATTATTGGTCCTTGCTCTCAAGAAAGACTCTGTCAAACACAATCTTGTGGATTCATCTTTTACTAAGATTCGTTGTATTAATCGCTGTTATTATCGCCGTATATTTAAGTATATTCTACGTACATTTGGCAGTACTCTCGAAGGCAGGACCACATGACTCAGTAATGACAAGTGCATTTCAAGCGAGTCTAGAAGGAGGACTTGCCAGCATCACGAAAGGACAACCTCTGGAAGTGACGCATGGTTCGCAGATTACTCTCAGACACACGTACGGCAGAGCCTGTTGGCTGCACAGTCATAATCAAGTGTATCCGTTGCGGTATCCCGATGGTCGCGGCAGCTCTCATCAGCAGCAAGTTACTTGTTATTCATTTAAAGATGTTAACAATTGGTGGATCGTCAAGAAGCCGGACAAAAATGATTTAGTAGTAAC